TCCCTGGCTGGGTTAGTGACCGTAAGCATGAGAGCTGGCTGGAAGTGCATGGGGTTTATTCACTCTCCCCGTTCCCCCCGTGCTTACCTGTGGCGTCCTCGGTGCCAGTCCTGCCCTCACACGCTGCGGCGAGTGTCTCTTTCTTCCAGACCCACAACAATTCCAAGTTTGAAAGTTTTATAGAGTTTATTTTAACAAACTTTGGATGTACGTTTTTTTTTTACCATGCCTTTCTAGCTCGGTAATTGAATTGACTTTCTGAAAAGCGTATCTGCAAGCTCAGTACTTTAGTCTTTTTGGAAGGCATGCTTTTAAGTTCCTCTGCGTTTTGATTTGTAAGAGTACAGTTATAACTAGATGAGCTTAAGTTTTAATTTAATAATGTGTCTATAGTTTTATGAAGAAAACCTTATTCCTACTGATAACTTCCAGTTTCAATGCACTTCTAAAAAAGACTAAATTGTAAAAGTAAAGGTCCTCCTTTGAAATATGCTTTATTTTAAATGAAAGTGACAGGAAGAAGAAATGCGGTGCTTGATCCAGTTAAAGTAATGCAAACCAGTGCCTCAAACTTAAATATTTGCTTGGCCCTGTACTTCTGTGGCACTGCCTTCTGCTGGGTACCGCTCTGCTGCCTTGGTGTGCAGTCGTCGGCTGGTGGATGCCGGCATCTTTGAGAGACGTGCAAAAAGACGTGTGAAAGATGGAATGACAAAACCAGAAGATACAATTGGCAGTGGGCATAAGTCTGGGTATCCATTTTAATGCATTTAACACAGGGTTCAGAAATTATCCTTGAAATATAAAAGTTACAATTTTAGAGAGCGGTACTAGTTCTCTGGCAGAGTGCTCGTAGAAGAGGTCATTACTAAACTTTTCGTCTGATGTTTATTGAACTTTGTAATGTGCCTGCCTTTCAGGTGTGGCATTCTTGGCTACCTGGTGGTACAACATCCTTTATTCATGCACAGAGTATAAAGAATGTTTTTGTAATGACAAGAGATCTGTGCTTGCTTTCATTTCCATATTAGATATGCAAGATGTCTTCAACTGTTTTTACTCAGAGCCACTGAGAAGAACTGGAATTCAAGATGAGAACCAACAAGGTGTACAAGCTCGTCATACATAAGAAGGGTTTTGGAGGCAGTGGTCAGTATCTCCTGGTTCGTAACAGTGAGACTAGCACTCTCTTACTTGATTGAAAGCAATTAACTGATTTATTGTCTTTTTAACAAAATGGTGAAGGTGGAAATTTGATGTAACAAGCAGTATTACCAGCCAAAGTTTGGAAAGCTCTTTTTAAATAGCAAGATACAGCAGAATAAAATTGTATTTGTCAGAACAGAACGAGATTACACCTATAAAATAAAATTGCTTTGTTCTGCATCTTCCCCTTTTGTTGCATCACTTTTCTTTAACCTTGTATTTCAGTCACCCTAATAAGTGACAGACATGTCAATGACTTATGACTGTGTGTAGATGTGTTCCTGTGTACTAAGGACAATGTCATTTATTTGATTGCTCGCTACTTCTAGACTTAAAGCTTGTTAATAAATCTTATTAAGATTCTATGGCTATCTACTTTCCTGTTGGTGTTTGTTACATGGAAAATATAAAAGATTATTCTGCTTGCCTAATTAAGGCACCTTTTTTTGCTGAACAAATATTTCGTGAAAGTTCTGTGATTTGAAAGAAAAGTTTTTGCCCACAGGAGTGACCAGGCTGAAGTGGCTGGGTAGTGGCACTGTCATGTAATGAATATAATGCATTGCTGACATGTTAATCCTGGGCTAGTGTATTTATGTAGAGTAAGTTATTGCATATGAACATGCAAGCATCTGTGTTTGGTATATATATGTTCATTGCAGTTTTCCTCATTCATTTATGTCTTGTAGATGATGAACTGGTGGTGAATCCTAAAGTATTTCTTCAAATCAAGCTGGGAGATGTTGTGGAAATTGCACATCCCAATGATGAATACAGGTGAATTCTCTTTTTGCTAGTATCAGTCAGGTGTGGTTAGAGCACTGAAAGGGCGTGTTCATGTACAGCAGCTTCTAGAGTAGGAGGCTCTCAGAGCTGATATAACTTTGCTTCAGGGTGCTGGCACGTTGGTTTTTTTTCTGCCTGAAGAAAAGTAAAGGGGATAACTATAACAGGAGTTCTTCCTTCAAGTTTATGGAATTATTTGTGTTTGGTGTTAGTTTGCTGACCTTTCATAGGGCAGATAGCACCTGAATATAGAATCTGCAATGTCTTTATCCTCTTCATAAAGCTGCTGTTACCTAATGATTATTCTTCCATCCTATACTATATCCTAGGAAAAATTAAAAGTTTCTGGTCAGATATAAAAACATAACCCTTATATGAAGCTATTCATCCGTAGCCTGTATCTGAAAAGTAGCAGTATACTCACATGAGGTTTTGAGAAGTTCCTGTGTGACTTACTTTCCCATTTAGAGTATTATCTTTACCTAAAAAGTACCTTATAATAATAATAGGTGTAAAGAACAAGACAGGGTGACAGGCAGAGAGGATGATGTATGAAGCTTTCTAGAAAATACTAATGTTTCTTTTTAGCTTATCCCATGCTCCATGTTACTAAATAGTTTTGAGAGAGTCATCTACCAAAGTATACTTGGTATCTCAGCTTGTCTACTTTTTTTCTTTTTTTGCATGCTAGTCCCCTGCTTCTGCAAGTGAAGTCACTTAAAGAAGATTTGCAGAAAGGTAAAACTCGAGGCTGATAGTATGCATGATAAAATCGTAGACAAAGATTATGTGATTGGGCTGTACCTGTGATTGACTAATGCATGTGTGTTAACTTTGTGAGAAAATCACTGCTTTGTCTATTTAGAATGGAGGGATTATAAATTTATCAGAAAATGAATAGCCAATTTTAAATATGCTTTTGATTGAGTAATATGGGCTATGGTTTAAACAAAATTGGCTTTTTAGCCTTAAATTTTTGTTTCTTCATTCTCTGACTAGCTTTATATCTTTTCTTCTTCCAGAAGTTAATTCAGCCTAAAATTTGAGTTTATCTCGCCTGCTTTTGTTTTACTGGCTCTTAAACTGGGCCAGCTGAAAGAAGCTGTTGTCTTTTGCTGAGGCCCTAAGTGTTTCATGACAGTCTCACTGTACTGCTTTTGTACTTGTAAACCACTTTAAACCTTTTGGGGATGTTCACTTCTCTGTTGTCCTTTCTAATTTTTGTGGCAGAAACTATAAGTGTGGATCAGACAGTTGCACAAGTGTTCCGACTGCGACCATACCAGGATGTCCATGTGAATGTTGTTGACCCAAAGGTGTGTGGCTTTGCAACTTTTTTCCATCTGTCCCTTCACTTAGCCCAAATCAGAGCCCTGTCAATTTCCATCTACGGTAGTATTGGAAAAGAAGGCATTTATTTTTTATTGAAAAGTATTTAGCCTTCTTTCCTAAGAAAATGAGGCTTGGGCAATTGAACTGTTGGTTTGTTACCTGTCTGTCTTCTCTTCCTGCCATCCCTGCTCTCTTTTTGAAGTGTGTGGACCAGCTTCAACACAGCTTGATAGAAATTTGGAAATTTCAGATATCTTTAAATTCCAGAAATTGAGGATACTTAGGCAGAGTAAAGAGAAACAGTAAGTGGCCTAGTCAAAAGAAGAACCATGGCATGGATTTGCATTATTTGACACCAGAGAGCCTTGTAAGAGAGGTATCTCTTGTAAATGTCCCAACTATCAGAAGAGCTGCAGTCAGAGCTTACATTCAGCACAAGACAAAAATCTGCAGGAAACAAGGCTTCCTTAATATCATGAACAATGGAAGTCATTTGGTTCACTTGTGCTTCCAGTTTGCATTGGGACTTGTAGCACTGGTTTAGTCCTTGGGCTTTTTCTGGTCACACTGTGCAGTGTCTTGCAGCTCACAGTAGTTCCAGGTACATGCACAACTTTGGCAGTTTTTTTGATGGGACTTCCCTTTGATCTTGCATCTGTTAGGAGTATTGACTTGCTTTAGAACAGCCCTCCCTGTAACATTTGGTTCTTACCAGAACAGATTGAAGGGCGCTACTTAGAAACAACCAGTAAAATCTAAGCACTGTTTTCCTTCCGTTCCCCAGGAAGTGACCTTGGACTTGGTGGAGCTGACCTTTAAAGATCAGTATATTGGGCGCGGGGATATGTGGCGACTGAAGAAAAGTTTGGTAAGGCCTCTGCTCTCCTCATATGTGGGGTGGAGGACGTTACGTACCTTTTTCTTTGCTTGCTGTAAAAGAAAATAAGTGTTTTACAAAATACAGAAAACTGAGGACAAGGTCACTATCTGCAGCTCTTGAGGAACTTAGGCTGTAAGCAGTGTATCAGAGCTGGAGAATAGGTTGTAAATGTGTTGCAGAAAAAATGAATCCCATCGTTTCCTACTCCATTGCCGTAGTGTTAATTACTGCCTTGGGCGCTGAAAATGCTGTTGAGAGTTTTTTTTCTTATGTTCTGAATTTTAATGATTTACTACATCTGGAAGGAATTGAATCCAAATGTTTTTCAAGTAGAAGTATGCTGAAATATCCCCTCTGCTATAGTACCACTTAATAAGCAACTATTAGAATATTTTGTTGCCGCATCTCTGAAGTGCGGTCTTTGGCTCTTCTAAGCACAGTGAATTAGACAAATGAACCCTGTAAAAGTTCATATGTGTTGAAAATTATTTTCCGTTGTCTGTTGCAGAGGTTCTGTAGGCTGAGATATTAGTAGTAAATATGCTTTGTGGTTTTCATGATTTTTATGGCCAAAGTCAGGTGTTTGAGGATGAATGTGTTGGTTGGTTTTTTTTTTTTTTGTAAATTGGTCAGCTCACTCTGAGCCTACTGTTCTTTTAACACCTGTAACTGTTCTTTCTTAGGTCAGCACATGTGCATATGTCACCCAAAAAGTTGAATTTGCAGGTATCAGGTCAGTGCCTCCTCTGAGGGCTTACTGTTACTTATGACTTTAGATCAATGAGTCCTGAGTATCCAACCGGAGAATGTTCTCTGAAAAATCCTTCCTATTTTATTGTTCTCTTACACTTCTGCAGATTTCTGTCTGCACCATGAGGTGGAGGAAGGCTTCTATCTGATTTGGGGTGGAAGAAACTAATAGTAGGAGAGTCAGCCATACTTGCTGCCTCTGAATGCCAAATAATTTTCCTTTTATTTCTTACAATATTTCCACCGCTTCCGAAGATGTGTTAATAGTTCAGATGGGATTACTTCAGTTGCTGTTGAGATGACAAAGGGACAGGGAAGTGTGCAAATGCAGAGGGAAATGGCTGTTTGACATCTTTTGGATTAAAGATCAGGTTTTAACCAAATAAACTTCTAGTCTGTGTTCAAGTCATCCTTGAATGCAGATTTTATTACATCCCCTATTTGCTCAAATATGGATTCTCTCTCTAATCTTCATATTTACTCTGGTTAGCAAATATTCTGCACTCCTTTTCTTCCAGGGCACAGGCAGGTGAACTGTGGGTAAAGAGTGAGAAAGTCACTTGTGGATACATCAGTGAGGACACTCGGGTAAGATTTCAGGGAGCAGGGGAAAGGAAGTTTTTCCCTTCCTTTCTTTGCTGGGTTTCTTGTAATTGTATCTTACTTGCAGATTTGTATGGATCATTTGAATTGGCTGTGTTGTAAGGTGAAGAACGGCAATAAAGTCAGGAGAATGAATGATTAGTAAACTTCAACTCTTCTGTGCTGGCAGCACTAGGAATTACTCGGGCTGTTGAAATGCCAGCTTGTTAGAGGGGAAATTCCCTGTGATGCAGTGGGCACAGTCATATAAGTTGCTCTGTGGTTAACTTCTGCGTTTGGCCCTTTTAGTGAGTGTAGCTTGTTTTAAATAAGATCTTTCATTCCTTTGCAGGTGGTCTTCCGCTCCACTTCTGCTATGGTTTATATTTTTATCCAGATGAGCTGTGAAATGTGGGATTTTGATATTTATGGTATGTAGGTAACTGACCTGCCTGATTGTGAATGTGGGTGACAGCAGCTATCTTTTCTGCCCCTACTAGAAAACTGCTTCTACTATTTATTTCTGCCACTACTAGAAAATTAAAGTATCCTGCCTTTGGCCTAAGCAGTGCTCGGAGGTACGATATGGTGCCTTCGTAGATCCTGACTTGCAGTGCCACACTTTTCTGTCTCTTGGGTATTCCATGATTTTCCTGTCCCTACTGTAGGGCCTGGGTACCATTATCTCAGTGATGAAATCAAAGGGGCCAAATGACTATGAACATTGGAAAGGTTTTCTGTAGATATGAACATCCTTTGTGGTGAGGGCAGGTGCAAGCCTGTGTGAATCCTGAAACCGGAAATGTATGGAAGTCCTGTGCAAAGAGGACCTTGATGTTTTAGATTTCTCTTGGCTTTGGCTTAGTGAGGAAGCAAAAGCCCTGCCTTAGCCCAAGTAGAGTCAGCTAGAAGTATTAGAACTTCAGGCATTAAGAATGAGTCACTTATCTGTGTTGTTGTCCTATTTTTTTTCTGGCTTAATTCTTTAGCAAACCTCTTACCGCTTCCTTTGACCATGTGTTTAGGCATATGTAGGTTGGCAACTATTCAAAACTGAGCAGGGGATCAGTTGTGCATACTATGCCTAAAAGATAGTACAGGTGCTTTCCCAGCATGCTGCGAATGTGTTGGAAAAATTATTTTAAAGGTCAGATCCTTTTGACAGCAAGAGTTTTGCTTACATCCTCTGAAACATAGTCATGCTTTTTAATCTTTTTATCATCTTTGCTTTAGTGATGTTAACATTCATTATGCACACAGCTGCTCTGATTCTAATGAAAATAGTTGTCCTAGAATCTTAGGGTTAAATATACCCCATAGTTGAAGTAACTGCTGTTATTTGATGCTTTGGAGATGTTTACTTTGCAGGGGACCTATACTTTGAGAAAGCTGTGAATGGTTTCCTTGCTGACCTCTTCACAAAATGGAAGGTAAATAGCTGATTGAGTTCATCCTGTTCTGAAAGAACAAGTCAGTGCCATCTTAATGAGCCCAGTGATATGCCAGTTTGAGGAAGACCAAGGCTGAGATTTACGGGACTATGAGAGGTGGCTCCTGGGCTTCAAAAGAGTGGTTACTGCAGGTTTACATTAAATCATACTGATCTGCTGTAACTGCTGTGTTTGTATTATACAGCTTGTTTGTGTGGAGGCGCTGACTGGACTAAAGTCACTAAGTGTGAGATATGGTTATTTGTGCTTGTGCGGTAATGCACAAGTCTGTTTTACACAATTGTATTTGTTCCAGGACTCAGTTCCAAATATTTCCCTAGTACAGTGTGTAAACTGTTTAGTGCTGCTATCTTTTAGCATGAAGGGGTTCCAGGTTGTAGTATATGGGCTGCTGATGATGTGCAAGGTTCTTGAAAGTGAGTTGCTTCAAAACCAAACAAAGCCTCACTACCTCTTATGACTGAACAACCCAGAGCTGTCTCCTATCTCAGTGCATGATCTGGATCAGAGCCAGGTACGACTGCTGTTAGCAGTCCTGTGGCAGACTTCCGCAAACTGGAGAGAACCATATCAGTACTCAAAAAAAGGCATATGTAAAATCTGCAACCTAAATTTAAAAAATAGCTAGACAAGGCAAAAGAGTGAAATCCTAAATGTGTAACATCTGTGCATAGTACAGCTCATCACAGTCCTGAATGTTAAGGGCAGCAGGAGAGTGCCCCACAGATTTGTCTCATTTTCATTGTGCTTTTTGTCCATTGGAGAGTTGTTAGGAGCCCTGCATGACATGTCTGCAAAATGCTTGTTTTGCTTTTAGTACTACTATACCATGTTGGATATGGGCCTGAGCGATGCCAGGGCTCACAGGGCTTTTCCTTTCGAGGGGTTGGCCAGTGTGCTTTTTATAGCTTAGTTCCATTGCACACATTAGCACTGTAACTGTTAAGCGAAGTTCTAATTTTTTATTTCTCTGGAATTGTTAGGGGCATCTCTCTAAACAGTAACAAGTAAGAATAAAAAATTGTTGTGAGCATGTACAAACAAATTGAGTCAACTGTCTGTATTTTTTAAAACAAAAATCCTGTATATTGGCAGCTACAGAGAGGATTTTCTTTAGAGACTAGTGGAGAGTACTCCTGTTAAATGTGATGTAGCCTACAGGGCAGACTGTTAAGTTATTTCATAGAGGCATATGCAGCACTCATGCAGATATACTAGTACAGCAGTCTACCTTTTTCTAGTTACCTTTGGTCCTAGGTGTGAGGGGAAAGAGGGTGTTACTATATGTGTATATACACAGTTTTCTACTGAATGTGATATTTAAGGTTTTCTTTTTTCATCTGTTCTTCCTGGACAGGAGAAGAATTGCAGCCATGAAGTGACAGTGGTTCTATTTTCTAGAACATTTTACGAAGCAAAATCTATAGGTATGTAAATTCTGTATTTTTATGTTTCTGTTTTTAAACCTATTTCCTTCTCTCTTGAAAGTTGGTCACAGACTGCCAGTGACTTTTTTCTCTTTTTTTTTTTTTTTTTCTTTTATGCCCATGCCCTGCCAAGCACAGTGGCTACACAGCCATTGTTATGAAAGTACTGGAGTGAAAACCTTACATGGAAGAATATATGGCAAATTTTCCCCATCATACTCAAGCTGTCATATTGGTTTAAAAGCAATTTTAATATTGTGTAGGAGATTTGATATTTCTCAAAGTGCTTTTTTTTTTTTAATGGAAATAACCTCTTTACTAGAAAAGATGAGTCATTTCTATACAAAAGCATAGGATAAAACATGCTCTTGCTTCTGTTCCAGATGAGTTTCCTGAAACGCATCGTGCCTCAATTCGGCAGGATCATGAGGGAAGATTTTATGAAGATTTTTACAAGTATGTCTTCCAGTTCTTTCATCTCTTGTCCTACAATGTATGTGCAACCTGTGTGGAGAATATCATGTTATTAAATGTAGGACCTTGCAAGGAATTGATATAGTGAAAAACATCTATGTCTGAAACTCGCAGCAAATTGATGAGTAGTCCCCATTTCATCTGTGAGTGCACACCAATATTTGCAAAGTCAGTCTTCCATGTGCATGCGAATGTTGTGTTGTCTGTGCTCTGTTGGAATTGCCAATAAACTTAAAAGTTCTATAGTGCTGGGAGTAGCTTTTCTAGAAAGCTTGGTTGTTTTTCAGATCTTTACATTCTTGAGTAGTTGCAGGACAGATGGTGCCATTGCTGAAACCAGAAGTGTTTCCAGTTAGGTGCTGGAGCTCTTTGGCTGATGGTCACAACAGATGAAGCTGTCGAAGCTGTCATTTAGTTCTGAACTTGGACTTGTTAACAGTCTTACTGCCTTGCAGAGCAGTGGTACCATTTGACATACAATGTTGATCACCCATTTAGAAGTGAGAGATTATTCTGGCTGGGGATGTGCCCAGCTTTGTGTGTGCATCTACATCTTAGTGATTGCTACGAGTATGCAGTAGTTCTGACATGCTGCCTAGCAGAAGGAAGAAACACTTACCTTTATGTGCATTCCATTTTCTATAGTTTGTTCACCCGTTCTCACTTCCTCTTCATAGCTTCCTTTCATGATCCTCATTAAGTTGTGCTCTTTCTAGAGTTGTAGTTCAGAATGAGAGACGAGAAGAGTGGACTTCATTGCTTGTGACCATTAAAAAGCTTTTCATCCAGTATCCCGTGTTGGTGCGACTAGAGCAAGCAGGTACAAGAATCTTCCTTTCTCCTTCTTTTACCCTTTTCTCTCTATTTTTTTTTTAAAGCTGTCTGTAAACTCTCTAGTTTCAGTTGGAGTCTGGTATTTTACTACCTAGTGCTCTCCTGGCTGGGCTATTTTGCTTGAGTCCTTCTGTGAGGTATACCAGTACCAATTTTGCGTGTAATTTGTTGGTGTGATAGGATTTACTACAAATGCAGGGGTTTGTGTTTGTCATTTTTTGTTTTGTTTTGTTTTTTTCAAAAAAGCTAGTCTATACAGAGATGGTAAATTATTTTTTTTTTCTTTTTCTCCTTCTGAACACTTGTCCAGAGGGCTTTCCTCCAGGTTACAATTCTACCTCTGCACAAGGGAACTACCTGGAAGCAATAAATCTTTCATTCAATGGTAAGTTATGAACGAAGGATAAAAATACACAGAGGAGGAACCATTAAAACAGCTGCCAATAAGTGGGTGTGGACTTCTGTTGCCTGTTCCTTAACACTGTGAAGAGGAGGGGAATATTAGGTGGTTAAATTATTGTTTTCAACCTCAGAAGAAGTTGTCTTGTGTGTCTCCGCAAAACCAGTGGCTCTCAAATAACTGAGTATTGGGTATTTCAGACTTCAGGAACCGTTTACAGGGCCTTGTTAGGACAGCAGTTTTTCTTCTAGCTGTGTATCTGTATGAGAACATCTTGGAACAGAAGTTGAAATTTTAAATTATGGAAGCGTTTCAAAATCAGATCAAATGTGATTTAGGTGAAGCTGATCCATCTTTTTTAGCAGGGAGATGAATTTGATGGGCTAGAAGGGCTCTCCAAAGATTTACTTTTTGTGATTCTGTACATCAGATGTTGTTCTGTCACCTTAATGGCTGTCTTGTTACTCCTATGGGAGGGAGCACAGGATGTTATTTAAAATTATTAGTAATGAGCTTTACCTTGTTGAGATTTTTTTGGGTTGGTTTGTTGGTTTTGGGGTTTTTTTTGAGATGTTTATAAAGGAAACGCTAAACATATGAGAAAAATACTCCTTTTTATGTATCTGGTTCCCATCTTTTCTTCTCTTCTGCCCTAACTCCTCTCTCTCCTGTAGCTTTATTAACATTTATTGGTTGGACAAGGCTATATACAAGCCCTCTCATGCTTGCATGTGCTTTGTGGAAACTTGTTTAATACCACTGTTAATAGAGAGTCACCTTCCTTGCTCTGAAAAAAAAACATCCAGCATCTTTTTTCTTTTAAAGTATTGCCTAATTCTTTCTCTTAGTGTTTGACAAGCATTACATAAACCGGAACTTTGATCGGACTGGCCAGATGTCTGTGGTTATCACACCTGGTGTGGGTGTATTTGAAGTTGATCGACTCCTTATGATTTTAACCAAACAGAGGATGATAGACAATGGTAAATAACTTGCGATACTGTGAATCTTTAATAAGGCAAACAGATATATTTGGAAAAGCTCTAACCTTTTCTTGCTATGAAAAAGTATGTGTTGTAACTTGTGTACTCTGGGAAGAGAGGTTACAGCTGGAAGAGTTATGTCCACACTTCATATTGAAACAGGCAGATTTTCAGAGAACTTAGAGGCATTTAATTTCTTTTGTTTGTGATAGAGAACTTCATCTGTCCATGCAGGCCTTTCCCTTAAAGGATGATCTTGCATGACTTGCATTAGTTTAGAAGAAACATTTCTTATGTCCCCACTGGCACTGTTGGTTTGTAACCACACCACTGGACTGTTAACTGGCATTTTCAGTATAACTACATCTTAAAATCATATATGAATACATATTGGGCCTTCAGCTCAAATTGGTGATCTGTTTTGGCTTAGCATATCAGTCCTGCTTGGTAGATAGCTGAACTCTACTGTTCTTTGTTTACAGGGATAGGTGTGGACTTGGTATGCATGGGAGAGCAACCATTGCATGCTGTACCACTCTTTAAGGTAATGCATGCTTGTTTGCCCTTCTCTCTGCTCCTACTGGAAATGTCACTCATTTTGTGACACAACTAATTGCTATGCTTCTGAATTACTCTTACAGCTCCATAATCGTTGTGGACCTGGCGACTCCAGATTGGGTGATGACTACAATATTCCACACTGGATAAACCATAGGTAGGTGAACTCTGTCAGCCTTTGCTCAACACTTCTCCTTTCCTTTCCTTTCCTTTCCTTTTTATAATCTGTTGAGTTCTCTTTCTTCTTTCATTGTTTATTTCCACTGCTCTCCTTGTGAAGCAAAGACATCTATTACAATAGTCCTGCAGAACTAGGAATGTTCTTGCAGAGCTCTGGGCATTAATGGAATATATCAGAGATGGTAGGCAATTTGGTGAGGAAAAGGTCTTGATCTTAAGCTCTCTTTCCAGCTAACTTGGTTCTAGCCTTTAGCTATACTCGAAGGAAGTCAGGAACCTAAACGAAAAATACAGTCACTTCAACTAGGTTGGTTATTAGTGAAAACAAATACATCCCATATGAACAGTTATGAGTAGAGAAAATGTGGATAATATGGATAAATGTTGGAACAGTTGCAGGAAACACTGAGGCTCAGGGTTACACTGCTTCACTCTAAGACATGGTAGGTTTCCTTTCTGCTTTCTGTTAAATGTTCTGTGCCATAATACTCTCTTTTCTTTGCCTACAAATAGAGATCATGACTCAGGATGAAAACTCTCTTCAGTCCTTGTTCTGCTGTAGGATTTTTTTTCCCCTCTCTTTTAATACCTTGTCCTGTCTGCATGCATTAATTGACTGTCCTGACCATTACCATTCATGGGTTGCTTATACCCAGTATTTTTGAGTGGCTGGAAGGCATGTGATCTTTGCGGTAGATGAAAAAGGTGTTTGAAGGCTTATAATAAGGCAGGATTTAAAAGATTCAGATGACTAAGAAACAGATCTTAATGGATAAATTGTTTCAAATGGGAGGAAGTCTGTAGTTTTCAAGCAGCTGATGTGAGTCGTTACTGTCATGTAAATTAGGGAGAGAATGATGTACAGTGCTGAGCAGTTTACAGACAGTGAAAGTGGATACCTTTCTGTAGAAAGAGGAAGTGAACTGGGGAATGCAGATGTACGCGTATTCAGAAGTCTAGACTGAGGCTGTATGGGAATCAAAGGCTGGTCTTTAAGGAAAGAGTAGCTTCTTTGAAGTTAACCATATTACTGTGTTTTCCATGTGTTGTCTCATGCAGAGAAAAGTATCTGCTTTTCTCCATCTAATAGCTAGCTCAAATTCACAGGCTGTGTAGCTAACCAGCTGTGTTCAGTTCTTAAAAGACAGCTGAGCCACCCTATTCTTCCTTTCAGTTTCTACACATCCAAAAGCCAGCTCCTGTGTAACAGCTTCACTCCACGGATCAAGCTGGCAGGAAGGAAAGTAGGTATCCTTCTGATTTATCTTTTCTTCTCACTAGCTTGTAAGGTACCTTTTCTCAGCCAATCATCAGAATCTTTCTAGGAAGCTTTCCAACAGCTGTAACTAAGTTTCTGTGTTAAAAGACAGAGAAAGCAAAGCTGTAATGATAGTTGTAGGGGTTGTGAATGAAGGACTAGTTTGTAGGTCTTTCCTTTCTATGATGAAACTAGGTGAGAAATGTTTTAGCTACTCTAAAAGTTAGATTTGCATTCTGTAATGAAGAACTCCATGGAGAGAAAGCAAGCTGTTGGCAAAGATGTGTTTTTTACACAGGTTTGTGACTACGAGTATTTAATGCTTCTGAAGTGGTCTGACTGCCTCACTGAGTCAGCAGGATAAACTTTAAGTCTGAAGTCTGATGCCTGTTCACATGGGGGGATATTTTCTTAGAACGTGCTGACTGTTTCCCTTCTCTCTGTCTTTTATCTTGCTCTCTCTTTCTTTCTTTTTTTTTTTTGGTCACATCACACTTCGTATGTTGGACCCTGCAGCCACAGACTGAGAAAGCAAAAAGTAACCGAGATGCCTGTGAGTAATGAGCTATCCCACTGACTCCCAAACTAACCAACAGCTGTAGTAAGACAATGACACTTCATCAGAAACACTGCTGAGATGTAGGAAGGGGCAATTGTTGCAGAAAACCATCAAAACCACATAGTTGTTATCCAGAATGTTAATGTGCATACGTCAATTGCCTACTTGGCCAATAACTAATATGGAGGAGTGAGTTTCTATCTGGGCTGCTTGTCACCTGGCTAGAGGAACAGATGGTATCAGGCTGGTGTGGTAGCCGTACTCTTTGTGGGAGTAGGACAGGAGGGCATTCACTGGCTTGGGGTGTTGGCAATGCTATGACCACAGAATTACAGTGGCAGAAGCCTGTGTTCTTCTAATATCTCCTTGCTTCAAGAAGATGTGCTTTCTTTCAAAGATGCTTTAAAATGTCCAATTCCCTCATGAGGGAACTCGAGGCATCTGTTCGTACAAAGAGTGATTTGTTAATTGAATATCTTGGATATATGGGGGAAAGACTCAGCAGCCCTGATTCAGAGGCGCCAACTTTGGTAATTGAGCTACTCCAGCTGTTCTGCCAGTGAGACTTTTGTATGTGATTTCTTTTGGAATAGATACTTTTCTTAGTGGTGGGAGTTGGATACTTCTAACGTGCAGATGTTGAACATTCTTGAAAGAGGTTCTGGTGCTATATGATTTTTATTTCAGCATTAGGGGCTCCAAAAGATGCTGAGAATGCCCTGCCTATCCAGGTAGATTACGATGGCTATGATGCCCAGGTGTTCAGACTGCCAGGCCCTTCCAGAGCCCAGCGCTGTACCACTTTCAGGTAAGAGGCTTGCGAGTGTACTAGTTCTAGAGTAGCCATGTTATGGTGTATTTCTTGATGCATAAAATGCTTTGAGAAATATAAGGAGAGTTAAACTCCACATGCTTACAATCGAACAAAAAGCTTTATCTGTAGCTAGTATTTATGGCTGGTTGTCTGGTATTTTACTTCTAAGATAGTGTGTGGGATCTAGGAGAAGGCATAAGTATACTTTTTCTTAACATATTTAATTTCGTCTGAAGTAGAATGAAGCTAGTCTCCCTTGCTAAGTTCCTAGAAGATTTTTCAAGCTGGGTAAGAAAGTACTTGCACAATAGACTTGCAGAGAGTTGTAGAAATGGCATTAGTTTGATGTGCTGTTTAGTAGCTGATGCTGAACATAGAGTGATGGGGAATCTTCCCAGAAAATTATGACTTTCTGAATGAGAGAAGAAACAGAGAAACTGAGTGCAGGTTCTCAAATATTTCATGGCCTTTTGTCTGAGAAGAAAGGCTAGTTATTCTCAGGTCTTGGCCGAATTCATTGAATAACCTATAAATTTTAGTGGTTTTTTGGGAATATGGGATTGATGAACTTGTTTTGAAGTATTTTTTTGCTTTCCTTCTTTGAGTAGTATTGCCTAAATCTAAGCTGTGCATGTGGACTCACTTGTTAATATCAGCAACTTGTAGAAATCCATGCTGGAAGATGCCGGTACAATTTAATGTAGTTTATAATTCCAAGTAGTTTCCCTATAGCTATGTGTTCCTAGCACTGTAGGCTCAGGTCTAGTATCTTCTAGACCACGTTTATATTACCAGCTTGGTGTGGTGTCTGTAAAATTGCACAAAGTGTCGAGCATGCTCTTTTCACAGCCGTTCTGCTGGAAGCGTTTTAGTGTTCTAGTCTTCCAGTATACGACGCACAAAAGTATATAGTACCCACATAGCCAAAAGAATAGCAATAGCTTCCTTGTAGGCCTCCTCTTGAGTTCACGTATTGAGACTCTTGCATGACTTGGGCCTGTTCAAGCCCCTTGATAACCCAGGAGTTAATCTCTTTTTCATATCACTGGACATATCTGTTTATTTTCAGCAGGTCTGTGAGGGAGAGAGAAAGTCGTACCAGAAAGAGCTCTAGTTCCTATGACGTCTCATGCAGCCCTTCTCTGCAGAGCCGCACCCTGCCCCCAGAGGAGGTGAGGAGCCAGGCTTCTGATGACAGCTCACTGGGCAAGATCTCCAACATCCTGATGATCCCACGGCCTCATCTGCACCAGTGTGAAGTCAGCAGCTCTTTGGGCTATACCAGCACCAGAGGTCAGCCTAAGGCAGATGGGAAAGTACCTTAGGTACCGAGAGGGGAGAGAGAAGATGGGAGTTTGGCCACTGCCAGGCCAGCACAGGGGAGACGGTGCTTATGTTAGCATTCATGGTACACCTTTTCTGTGGCTCCAGCTACGGCTGGATGTGCATTCTCCCTTTGTTATCCTTGTCCAATTGCATTGCTTTTTTTAATTGGCTTGTCCTAAATAGAAGTGTCCTGACACTGATCTGCACTTTTCCCTTGTCTATTGCCTTCTTTAATATTTGACTATTCTCCTGTGCCTGCCTCCAAATGTGGACTTACACAAGTAACTTTTTATTATCCAGGTCACCTATAATCTGTCAAATGAGAATTGGCCTTAGTAGTGAGCCCTGGGGGACTCTGCTTATAACTTCCCTCTATGGGGATTTGTTGTCATTAAGAGTCACTTTCTGGATCCTTCCTTTTGACAATGTACTGCTGAGCTATCTTGATGTGTTAGCAGTGCTGGGCAGTCTCCTTTTTTTCCTTGCAATTTAATTTTGTTCTCAGACAGTGTGTGGTATCTTCCACAAACCCAACTCATTTCTAGCTAAATTATATTCCTCCTGCAATTGCTTGATTTTCTGTAAAATTCTATCCCTGAAGGCCCTTTCTGGCTTTTTGCATGTCATGCTGTATGACAACTGATACCACATTTATCCTGTTACAGGAGTTGGATTTATTGGTGTGGAACTGCTGTCACACAGTGTACTTCACATTACATTTACCTTTAATGTTTTCCCCTGCTGTCTGTCACTTAATATACAATTTTTTTTGGTATTTCTGTTACTCCTTTAGTTTGAAGGATAGTCTTGTGACCCAGCTGAAGGTGTGCAACTGGATGGGGATGTGTGTGAATAGGAACGACAGGGAGGGAAAAGTCAGAGTAATTGAGGTTTTTCACATGTTCTAGTTGGCAGTATAGAGTGGTAAATGAGACCCTTCCTTCTCTTTAGGATTTCCATTTGTTGAACAGAGTAATTGCTACTTAGTCATCTGGTATATTTCTCTCTCTTGTTTCTAAATAACTGCACCTCTGTGCTACATTGAATAGTAATCACTAACTGCTAGCTTGCCCAGAGCATGTCCTCTGTCTTCTGGAACTAATCTCTTATTGCAGTGGTCAAATCTGAATGTTACAAAAAGGCACATGTTGCTCAGTTGTAGCTTCTGCTATGTCATTGGTACTCATCCTGAAGTTTCTGGTGTGGCAGTCTTTTGATTTCTCAGGAATTCTCAAAGCTCTGAGTAATTCTTCATAGTTGACTTAGCAAGTGATTTCTGTATGGCTTCATTTAGTATAAAGTGACACAATATACAGCAATGCTGTAATGGCAGATGAAATAATACCCTTTCTTATCTGGATTCTTGTTTACATTGTATCTTGCAGACTGGCTTGAAATTCCTTTCTGCTTCTCTCTCTGCCTACTCCTCAGCTGTCCTTATTCCCACTTACCCTGGGGAATCTTTATATCCCTAAGCAATTCATTCTCTTTTGCTTGGCTTCTGTGTGATCTCACGCTGACTTTAAGTTGTGCTTTCTAGATGTCCTTGAGAACATGCTGGAGTCTCAGCAACGTGACTCCAGTGCCCCTGGGAGGTTCCATGTTGGCAGCGCGGAATCCATGCTGCACATTCGGCCTGGGGGATATACACCCCAGCGAGCACTGATAAACCCGTTTGCCCCATCCCGCATGCCCATGAAGCTTACATCTAACAGGAGGCGCTGGATGCACACTTTTCCTGTGGGTAAGTCTGTTTCATTGCATATTAGATTGCTGTTACTTTTTCCTTGGGCAAGCATTAACACGAGAACCAGTGTGAACTCTGGCATCTTGAAGTACTGTGCACTGTAACGGAGACTGAACTAAGCGTATAGGCTTGATAAAACAAGAGATCCTCTTTTTGAAAATATTACCATCTATTGGCAAACTTGCAGCATCAGGTACTGTGGAACAATCTTCTAGTAGATGGAGGCTGTTGAAGTGAATCATAACTACAATTTGGGTTGACTTTCCGATGCTCAATTGTCCTCGTATTTGTTTAGTGCCTTGTAAGTAGGCCCTCCATAATGTTTAAAAGAGTATGCTGCGTCACTGGCTTCAGAGAAGATGTCAGAGGTTCAAGTCTTTGAAGATTTCATAAACATGCTTGCTTAATTTCCATTAGTTAGCATTGCCTGTGTTGTTGACAAAAGGAGGGGACAAGCAAGTGAGGAATCAATGCAGATGTGGTGATTAATGATCAAACTGTAACTGTGTAGGTCCATCAGGAGAAGCTATCCAGATCCATCATCAAACCCGTCAGAATATGGCAGAAATGCAGGGCAATGGGCAGCAGGATTTGACACATTCCTCTGCTGAGCTGCTAGAGTTGGCTTACCATGAGGCAACTGGCAGGTGAGGACCTTAGGATGAATCTGTGTAGACTTTGCATGAACATCCCTTTTCCCTAAGATTTTATATATGTTACCATAAGGCAGTTATAGGTTGTGATCTTTAAGTTTAATAATACATTGTGTCAGTGCCACGTATGCAGTATGTACTTTTATTTTGAGATATAAAGCTCTTTTGGCAAGGCTGGAGATGATGTACCTCACCTAATTTGGGGAAGGCGGCAGTTTATCACAGAGAGTTTGCAGTGCACAAACAATACAATGCATCATTAATGGAATTGTTCAAAATTGCCTTATAAAAGCCTGTGTCTTTAATTTTTGACTTACTATCCCAATAGCTGGGACCTTCATCCCAGAATAGAACACTTTTTAGCACAGAGCATAGCTTTGCCTCACAGTAACTGTTGAGCAATTCCAGTGCTATCCATTGAGTCCTGTCTTCCCCATGCTGGTAAGAAATACAGCCATCATAAACGTCAGGGATGGATTGCAAATGAAAGTACCTGTGTTTGTAAACTAATTTTCTCTTAAAAAACAAGCTTTGGTCAATGTTGGGAGCTTATATTGATTGTTGGCTTCAAGAAGCGAAAAAGATCCCGGTGTTACTGGATGTGGCATGATTGTGGGGAGAAAATAGATTGTTCACTTCACCTAGGCCATTTTTCAAGCTGCACAGTTGTTCTCCAATCTCCACATACTGTCTTACCCATTTTTTTTATCTGATTATTCTTTTGTTGACAACATTTTGTCTGTGTTTTTCACTCATTGTTAAATGTTATTTACCAAAACCATTTTGGTAGCTTAGGCAACTTAGAATTGCCAATAAGTTTGTTTACTTTCGTCATTAACTTTTGTATCTTTCCTGCTATGTGTTTCTTTCCTCTTGCGTGCTTATAGAAATTCATGTTGCGTATTGTTTCTGGATGTCCAGGGTGAGTGAGGACACTGCTGGTATCCTCTGCCTTTTTAATTCTCAGGTGTTTTTTTCCTGTTATCTTCAAGCAGTCCTTCAGGAAAATGCACTGTCTAATTATTCTTTCATGCTTTTTTTTTCCTTTTATAGGGAAATTGTTGTCCTATCTTATACTTTTTATTGTCCTTCAGAATACTCTAATCTTTTTCTGTTGCATAATTTTAATATTACATCATCCTCACCAACTTTGTTCCCTAGTTCTACTTTTAAAAAATTACCTTTTTATTACTTCATAAGTGTGCTAAAGTATCTTGTCATTAACACCAATCTCTTGTATCATATTCTTGATAATTCTTTTTCTGGATCTCTCTGTCTTTGTGGATGACATATTCATCCAAAGCAATTTGCTCAGTCTGGAATATTGGTTTTATAGACCATGAAGTCAGATCTGTAAATAACTAGCAAAGTTTTATTTCTCTCCTGGGAGGTATATGAGTAGCTGGTTCTCCACTGTCCTGCAAAGATAGCACATTGGTTATTGCTAGAGGCAAAGAACAAGCAGTATGGACAGGTACGGAGTACTGTTACAGCCGGCTCAGTGCTGCTTTTGTGCCGGTTGCAATCTCTGCAAACATCATTAAGAGCAATCTGATTACTTGTTGTTTGTTGCATCAGCTCTGTTAAAAGCAAGGAATGGCACGAGTGAGGAAAATTTGTATAATACAGGCTATTTTGTTTTTCTCCAGACATATCAGCTCTCGGCATCCAGGTGACAGTGCCTCTTTCCTGAGCTTCAGCGGAACAGAAGAATACTCTAACGGCCTGGCTGGCAGCAACAGTGCAGGTAACAAAGCAATGGTAGAGCATGGAGTTGTGAGAGAAGGCCTTTCCCTATTAGCAGTGACAAAGTAATAGAGTCAGAAGTCATGGAAGGTGGGTGGACCAGGCATTACAAAGTAGAAAGAATCAATAATGGAAATACAGTTTTCAACTTCCAAGTGATCTGTTAATGCTCTTACTTGGACTTTTTGGTGTGTGGTAGTTTTTTGGATTGGTTTGTTGGGGGTTGTTTTTTTGGTGTTTTTTTTTGTTTGTTTTGTTTCTGTGTATCTGCTTCTCTAGGTATGTCTTATAAATTTTACTATGGAAAGATGCTCCTTGTTTACATATGATAAGGTCTCAGGCAGTTGTTTAGTTCCATAGTAACACAGCACTGATGTCCAGACACAAAAAGTAACTAAATATGCACTGGTATTGTTCAGAACTTTTTTTTCTGGGTGGGGTTGCCTTAAGGTGTCACCCTTTGGTTAAGAAACTTGTTTGAATCTATATATTTTACATATGCAAGCTGATGGAAAGAATCAAGTTTGGTTGTATATAGGTTTTGAGAGAAGCTGTAAAAAATCAGGTTTATTTTTACGTGGTAGGTTCTGGGATTCAGTGTTTTCTAGCATTTCTTGTCATTATCTATAAATACACTTTGTCGAGATTTTAAGCCCTTTGAATATGGTGCTGTTTATCCTAAATGTTATTCACATAGACCAGAATATTTTACATTTTTGAGAGAAGACACATGTCTGTACTTTCAGTTGAAGATTAGCACTGTCTTTCTTACCTTACCCAGACACCTGACTTAGTGGAAAATGTCAGTGTTTCTTTTGAATCCTGTAAATGGAACAACGTGCCACACTAACCATTCTATTGTGTTGTCTGGTTTTTTTGCAGCCTACCTTCTGATTTTATGGATGTGCTTTTTAGATAGTCACATGGAAAAAAAAAAAAGATCTTTTGGACTTGAGCATTCAAGACTTCTTTTTTCAAAATCAATTTAAAGTTTTTTGTTTTTTTTTTAAATGTACGCTTCTGAATTGCATTTGGATGAAAACAATTATGTTTTCCCCTATATGCGTATCTTGAAAAGCCATAAAGATTTAATTTTCTTATGTCTCTCTCGTCTTATGTTCACATAGTCGCATTAAAAGTTATTTTGTTCTGTTGTTTCCTTCTGTGTATTTCATCTGATTACGTTTCATTTTCTTGCTTTACTTTTTTTTTTCCTGCCTTCCAGATAGACTTTGTTCTTGTTATTGCTAAACTGCATTTCAGCTGCTGGATACAATTTGCACAACATAGATGCAGAGTATATCCTGGCGATAAACATGCTTGCGTTTTATAGAAGTCTTTTGTGTCTGTAGATTGGATATAAATAATTTGTGTGGTGGAAGTTAATCTGTGTCTGTGTTTATGAAAGTCATTATGAGCACCTTCCCTGACTAAATGCCCTCAGCTATCTGTAGCTGCCCCACTGTGACTCAGTGATTTGACTTATGTTTCTCGCTTATGGTTTGAGTCACCTATGAAATGAAACGGGGAGGGGGTTTTGGGGGGGTGTTTTTTGTTTGGTTGGTTTTTTAATTTCCAAAAATCTGATTTCTCAGTGAGTCTTGTTCTTCTCTGCTGCCCACAGCATGTTTTGCTGCAACATGGGCTTCTCAGTGAAAAATTACCCCATCTATTTACATTGACATTCAGTATGTTGTCTCTATTGTCCAGCAGATGGTAGATGGTAGCTCAGAGCAAATGAATCTCGTTGCAATTCCCTGACTGGATGGCAGATGGCATCAGCGGGGCTGGTGAAAGACGAATGCCAATTTGAGCCAGCTCCTCTGCTCTTTTACTGGCTTCATCATGGAAGCAGATAACTGTCCTTTCTGTTAGTAAATGCTATTTAGAGTAACAGCTATGATGTTGATTATCAATTTCCTGGCTAGATCTACATAAGCTAGTTTTATAAAAATGGCTCCTTTTAAATGTTTGGAGCCTTCCTGAAATTTGTACTTTGATAAATGTCTTTTAAGCTGGCAGTTTTTCTTGTCTCCTTAGCTGCTCATTCCCTCTCGTGTGCCACAACAGCTGTTTATACAGCTACATGGTGAACCACCTCAGGGAACTGATCCAAATGAAGAGCAACTGGGTTTTTTCTTTGCTGTATCGATTGTTTCACTGTAACTGCACAAATATGCATGCAAATACAGCAGACACGTGTGAAACGGGGGCTAGGAAGAACTGGTGAAGGGGTACCATAGCATCATGTTGGCTTAACATTCACTGAGCTATAGTTTTAGTATCTGTTTTCCAGGTTAATATGCTGCTTAGAACAAATCCATTTGACAGTGAGAAAAATCGTAGTGTCTTAAGTCCAAATCTAAACTTAAATATAAATTTTCATTAGTCTTAAGTCTCTTGTTAGTCTTCATTTAGGTTAGTATAAACTGAGTTTTGCTCAAAAACTGAACATGTCTTCAATAGCTATCATTTTATTTCCTTTCACAATGAATAAAAACTTTCTTACTATTCTTAGTGAAGTATGGACCAAGTATGTATCTTACAGTTTGAAACATAATGGAAGTTACTGCCTTTCAGAACATGGTAGTTTTAAACAGTTTGTAATTAATATATTGAACCTATTTAGGGGCACTGAAGGCTTAATTAACACTTTTCAAATCTTAGCCTGGCAAGGGATAAAAAGGTAGTCTGCATTGGCCGAACTGAGAAGATCAGCTGTTTGTTTTGTTTCCTCCCCACCCACTGGCAGAGAGGTGAAATGTGTACTGGTAGTTTATGCCTAAAAATGTTGGAGTAAATCTGTATCGTGATTTTCGTAAATTACTTAGACTCTTCAGAGTCTTAGATAATTAGAATCTTATATATGGGTTCTCTTCTCCCACCAGATGAAAGTCTGTTATTTCCTTTCTTGCTGCTCCTGTGTTTTATGAAATTCTTCTAATTTATCCCTTGTTCATAGAATAAGAAAACTAATTAAAAAAATTCTGGTTTTGGGTACTGAAGGTACTTAAAAGTACTTAACTGCTGAGACCCTGAGATCAGCAAGCTGAATGTTTACAAGTGGCTTCTTTTTTTGTTATTTACTTTTTTATGGCATCTACTTTTCAAGACGTATTTCACCATTTTGAGGAGGTTGTTTTTGCTTGTGTTTTAGCTACTGAACACTTCTAACGAGATGTTTTAATTTCACCCAAGACGTCTTTTTTTTTTTCCTCATTAGTTGGGCTTTGTGTATTTTTCTACCGTGCAGAACCCTGAGATCATTCCAAGGAGAGAAATGCTGTATTGTTAAAACATTTGCATGCTTTTGATTTGAAATGAAAGTGAAGTGCATAACTGCTTAACATAAAATACCTATTTCTTTCATGTAGGTGTGAACCTCAAAACTCAGAACAAGGATTCCTTGGAAGATACTGTCTCTAACTCTCCGGATCCGAGTAAGCAGGAGAAAGGTTTGGAAAAGAGTTTGCATAGGTGGGAAGATAGGAGGGGAAAGGGCAAGTACATATATAGAGGCATCAGGAGGTGGGAGGCAAGAAACTGAGGAGTCTGCTTGGCTTTTGGCAGTAGTTTATTTTGCCCCACAGTAATTTGCAGGATCTGCCTGTACTGTGTGTCTGACTGGGGTTGCAGCTCTGTGTCTCTTAAGAATATGTGAAACTGGTTGTTGTACTACATCTGAAATTCTTTCCTTACCAGACACTATTATGCAAAAAGCTAAAGCTGCTGAACTCTTACCTGCCTTGCAATATGAAAAGTTTGCTTGGCACCACCTAACAAGCAGTAGAAGTACAGTTAGTTCCTGAACTTGGTACTGTTTACTGAGAAATATCTGTCTTCATCTAGTACAGAAACAAGTCTGTGACTGCTTGAGAAAACATTTTCTTTGTAGCAGTCTGTCCAGTACTACTTTCTTGTGCGGTGTTCCTGCCATTAATGTTAACGTTTTTAGAGCAAAATAACTTTCAGTCTGTAAGATCTCTGTGACAAGAAGTTAAGAATTAGTAGTTGGCCAAGAAGTGCCTTGATATAGATCGTTTGAGGCAGGTTAGAATGTAATGCAGTAGTGAACTGATGATTTTATATAATTTAGTTAGCTTTTGCTTTTTAATGTCTAGTTTTAGATCTCTGTAATCTCAAAACTGCAACACAACTCTAGAAAAGGGTATGGGGAAGGATCGCTTTCCAAGTTACTATTTTTCTGGTCTTCCCACCTCTCTGGATCTGTCTTCTGTTTTTATAACTGTAGAAATACTCCCATTTCTGCTGTTGTACTATTCCAGAAAGAGGCTGGTCTGTCATTCTTTCTCTCCTCATCCCCAGCTCCTTCTGCAGTTGTCTAGGATGCAAAGCTGGTCTGATTTTCTTGTTCAGACTTGGAATGATCTGTTTTATTAATAATGAATAACTGCACCTGACTTGCTGTAATTTTGGAAGAGCAGTGGCTATGTCAGCTCTAGCTTTCAATCAACAGAAAATTAAATGTATTAACTTTGAATGCCATTTGCATGATGGGATTGAATTAGCATGTGCACAGCATTGTTTAACAAACTCTGTCTCTTTCTCTCCCTCCCTTCTTCCCATCCTACTTTCCGTTTCCCTTCCCATTCCACCCTCTTTTTGCCCCTGTTGACTTTACACCAACTCTGTTTTTGTCACTCATTCTTTCTAACTTTCTTCTTCACACATTTCTTTCATCTTCCTCTGCACCCTATTTTTTCATGGGTGACCATATATGCCCCCATTGTCTGCCCCCCAATGATACAACGAGGCAGTTCTGACGCTGTCTGCTCCCCCCGTAGTGCCAGGCTTCTGTTGTACAGTTGGAGTGGACTGGAAATCTCTCACTACTCCGGCCTGTCTCCCTCTTACCACGGACTACTTCCCCGACCGTCAGAGTCTGCAGAATGATTACACGGAGGGTTGCTATGATCTCCTCCCAGAAGCTGACATTGACAGGTTTGGCCAGCAGCACCTTCTCTGTAAAGTAACTTGCATTGAATCAAAGTGCTTAAGGCGCAGTTGATGGAAGAGGAATGCTTTGGAGACTGTGCAAGAGAAAGATGAATTGCTAACATAGTTAGCAGCAGAATACTTAGATTTTTTCTTTTCAGTGGTAACTTTGCACCTTTTCTGATGTTACCATCTGACAGTGTTGTGTTCTGTAGATTTTATGTTAGAAGTTGTTTGCATATGAAATTTTACATATCTTCTCTTGTTCTGTTGTGTTTCAATCAAAAAAACCCAACCTCAAGCTATCATCTTTGTTAATCTATTTTCTAGCAAGTATTTTGGAAACACTAAATGAGCAAATGCACATGTACACACAGTGTTTAAGATGCTTATCCCCACTTTCAGGGCTATTTAGTTTAAAGAATCGTGGTGGAAAATAGTGTTAATGGGATAAATAGAACTTCCCAGCTTGTCTTGGAGATCTCTGGTGACTTTCCTTTAATAGGGTTGTTTGTTTTTTTTCTGAAGCTGTCTCACCTTAAACATTTTTCAAACTTTCCACAACTTGTAAGACATCAGAAAGACCTGCTCATGTTGCTGCTTTATGGGAACAAAACAGAAATACTAGGGTGATTGAAATACATAGGAAATAGCAGGATTAATGAAGAAACACCTAACAGAAGTGTCAGATGTCCCTTTATAGCAGGAAGGTGAAGCTCAGAGCAGAAGTAGTTGTAATAAGATGCCATAGCGATGTGGTTTTTAATCTCTCTGCTCTAGGTTTCCCACTGTGGGAGAGAGTGGAGCATTGCCTGCACACTTGCAGTTTTGAGCTCTGCTGAGCATTTACAAACTGCAGTGAGATTCTCTGCAAGATGCTGTTAATGTGATCATTGGTGAATTTATTGGAAGCTTAACAACTGTTGTAAGCAAATTTGTTACTGGTTGCAAAACTACTCTCAAAGGCATTAAAAAATATTGCCAGATAGCTAATCATCACCTGTTTAAAATAGAGAGGTACCCATTTTTCTCTCCTGTTCCTGCAGGTTAGTTTTCACAGGCAGAGGGCTCCGCTTGCACAGAGCCCAGTGCAGGCATAAATCCTCAGTTAGGAAACACAGAGCTAAGAATAGGTGTGTGGTCAGCTTCCTTATTCTAGTCTCCTTAACCTTTGTGTTCAGGAGAGATGAGGAAGGAGTGCAGATGACAGCCCAACAGGTGTTTGAGGAGTTTATTTGTCAGCGTCTCATGCAAGGCTATCAGATTATTGTGCAATCCAAACC